CGCGAAAACATGCGCACTCTCCCAATCCAAACAGCGGTTCCGGACCCAGACAGCAAGCAGCACGAGCCACGAAAAAGGTCGGAGCCGAGGCAAAGACTCTCACCGCGGCTCCGGCCTACTCCGTCTCGCGCGCGATGGCGAAGCCCAAGACGCAGTGGCCAAAGTCGAGCGCCGCGATGCCGTTCGTGGCTCCAGCCGAGTCGAGGTGGTACCGCTCGTGGATCTCGTAGAGCGAGAGGACGAGGAGCGCCGCCCGCGCGCGCGCCGCCGCGGGGAAGAGCGAGTGGCTTGCCGGCGACCACGGCGACGCCGCCCGCCGGACCAGCGCCGCCGCCTCGCCCTCGCCGCCCGCGGCACGCCGCAGCGGCGTCGGCTCGCCCTCGTGCAAGCTTGCGCCGCTGCGCAGGAGGGAGGTGGCGCGGGCGGCGGTGAGGGTCTCAAGGTGCGCGAGCGGCGTCCAGCCGCGGCTGGCGACCAGCCAGGCGGCGAGGTCGGCGTGGCCTTCTTCGGTTGCAACCTCCTCGGGCGTGCCGAAGGGCGTAGCGGCGCGGGAGGCGCCGTAGGAGGAGAGGAGCTTGGCGACCTCGAGGTGGCCGTCCTGGCACGCCGCGAACAGCGGCGTGGCGCCTTGCTCATCGGCCTGGTCGATCGCCGCGCCAGTCTCGAGGAGCAGCCGAACGCACTCGACGTGGCCGTTCTGGCTCGCCACGAGCAGCGGTGTGGCGCCGTCGTTGCAGGCTTGGTTGATCGCCGCGCTGGCCTCGAGGAGCAGCTGGGCGCACTCGAGGTGCCCGTTCTGGCTCGCAACGAACAGCGGCGTGGCGCCACTGACATGGGCTTGGTCGATCGCTGCGCCAGCCTCGAGAAGCAGCCGGGCGATCTCCGGGTGGTTGTTCTGGCACGCCATGAACAGCGGCGTGACGCCGTCCTTGTCGGTTTGGTTGATGTCAGCGCCAGCGTCGCGCAGCAGCTGGGCGCACTCGAGGTGGCCCTTCTGGCACGCGACGTACAGCGGCGTGAAGCCTTCAGCGTCTGCTTGGTTCACCGCCGCGCCTGCCTCGAGGAGCAGCTGGACGCATTCAATCTTGCTGTTGAAGCTCGCAGCGCTCAGCGGCGTGGCGCCGTTCGCCGCGGCTTGGCTGACCGCCGCGCCGACCTCGAGGAGCAGCCGAATGCACTCGACGTGGCCCTGCTGGCACGCGACGAGCAGCGGCGTGGCGCCGTTCGCCGCGGCTTGGCTGACCGCCGCGCCAACCTCGAGGAGCAGCCGCACGCACTCGAGCTGGCCCTGCTGGCTCGCCATGAACAGCGGCGTGGCGCCTTCCGCGTCTGCTTGGTTGACCGCCGCGCTCGCCTCGAGAAGCAGCCGGACGCATTCGATCTCGCCGTTGAAGCTCGCAGCGCTCAGCGGCGTGACGCCGTCGTCCATGGGATGCTCTATCGCCGCGCCCGCCTCGAGAAGCAGCTGGGCGCACTCGAGCTGCCCCGTCTCGCACGCGATGAACAGCGGCGTGACGCCGCCGTCAGCAGCTCGGTTGACCGCTGCGCTCGCCTCGAGGAGCAGCTGGGCGCACTCGAGGTGCCCGTTCTGGCTCGCAACGAACAGCGGCGTGGCGCCACTGACATGGGCTTGGTCGATCGCTGCGCCAGCCTCGAGAAGCAGCCGGGCGATCTCCGGGTGGTTGTTCTGGCACGCCATGAACAGCGGCGTGACGCCGTCCTTGTCGGTTTGGTTGATGTCAGCGCCAGCGTCGCGCAGCAGCTGGGCGCACTCGAGGTGGCCCTTCTGGCACGCGACGTACAGCGGCGTGAAGCCTTCAGCGTCTGCTTGGTTCACCGCCGCGCCTGCCTCGAGGAGCAGCTGGACGCATTCAATCTTGCTGTTGAAGCTCGCAGCGCTCAGCGGCGTGGTGCCGTCGTTGCAGGCTCGGTCGACTGCCGCGCCGACCTCGAGGAGCAGCCGAACGCACTCGACGTGGCCCTGCTGGCACGCGACGAGCAGCGGCGTGGCGCCGTTCGCCGCGGCTTGGCTGACCGCCGCGCCAACCTCGAGGAGCAGCCGAACGCACTCGACGTGGCCCTGCTGGCACGCGACGAGCAGCGGCGTGGCGCCGTTCGCCGCGGCTTGGCTGACCGCCGCGCCAACCTCGAGGAGCAGCCGCACGCACTCGAGCTGGCCCTGCTGGCTCGCCATGAACAGCGGCGTGGCGCCTTCCGCGTCTGCTTGGTTGACCGCCGCGCTCGCCTCGAGAAGCAGCCGGACGCATTCGATCTCGCCGTTGAAGCTCGCAGCGCTCAGCGGCGTGACGCCGTCGTCCATGGGATGCTCTATCGCCGCGCCCGCCTCGAGAAGCAGCTGGGCGCACTCGAGCTGCCCCGTCTCGCACGCGATGAACAGCGGCGTGACGCCGCCGTCAGCAGCTCGGTTGACCGCTGCGCTCGCCTCGAGGAGCAGCCTGGCGCAGTCGACGTGGCCCCCCTCGCTCGCGAGGAGGAGCGCGGTGGCGCCGCCGCTGTCAGCCGCCCTGACGCTCGCGCCGCCCTCGATCAGCAGCCGCACCGCCTCGGCCTGCCCGTGCCGAGCGGCCCAGGTCAGCAGCGTGTCCTGCGTGCCGGTGTCGTGCCGCGCGTCGAGCTGGGCCGCGAGCGACGTGCCGCACGTCCCCTGCCCGGAGAGGAAGGCGCGCAGCGAGGCCAGGTCGCCCCGAGCCAGGTCGGCGAGGCGGGTTGGGCTGCAGGCGCTCATCTACACACAGTCGCTCATGCCGTCAGAAAGAAAAAAAACTTCGAGGAAGATTTTTTGAGAAATTTTTCTTCTTTCTGGCGGCATGAGCGGCGCCCTCCCAACCCGCCTCGCCGACCTGGCTCGGGGCGACCTGGCCTGGCTGCGCGCCTTCCTCTCCGGGCAGGGGACGCGCGGCACGTCGCTCGCGGCCCAGCTCGACGCGCGGCACGACACCGAGAGGCAGGACACGCTGCTGACCTGGGCCGCTCGGCACGGGCAGGCCGAGGCGGCGCGGCTGCTGCTCGACAGCGGCGCGAGCGTCGGGGCGACGAATGGCGGCGGCGCCACGCCGCTGTATATCGCGTGCGTGAAGGGCCACCTCGAGATCGCTCGGCTGCTTCTCGAGGCTGGTGCAGCGGTCAGCCAAGCCAAGCAGAACGGCGCCACGCCGCTGTTTATTGCGTGCGTGAAGGGCCACCTCGAGATCGCTCGGCTGCTTCTCGAGGCTGGTGCAGCGGTCAGCCAAGCCAAGCAGAACGGCGCCACGCCGCTGTACATTGCGAGCCAGTACGGCCACCTCGAGATCGCCCGGCTGCTCCTCGAGGCTGGCGCTGCGGTCACCCAAGCCGCGGCGAATGGCACCACGCCGCTGTACATTGCGAGCCAGAACAACCACCCCGAGGTCGCCCGGCTGCTTCTCGAGGCGAGCGCGGCGGTCAACCAGGCCCAGGAGAACGGCACCACGCCGCTGTACATCGCGTGCCAGAAGGGCCACCTCGAGATCGCCCGGCTGCTGCGCGACGCTGGCGCGGCGGTCAACCAAGCCCCGCAGAATGGCGCCACGCCGCTGAGCATCGCGTGTCAGCTTGGCCACCTCGAGACCGCCCGGCTGCTCCTCGAGGCCAGCGCGGCGGTCAACCGAGCTACAGTGGATGGCGCCACGCCGCTGGTCGTTGCGTGCCACCAAGGCCACCTCGAGGTCGCCAAGCTCCTCTCCTCCTACGGCGCCTCCCGCGCCGCTACGCCCTTCGGCACGCCCGAGGAGGTTGCAAACGGTGAAGGCCACGCCGACCTCGCCGCCTGGCTCGTCGCCAGCCGCGGCTGGACGCCGCTCCAGCATCTCGAGGCGTGCCCGAGACTAGCGGCCGAAGGCGTGAGCGCATTCTCACGCGTATTGCCCCTCTTCCGCAGCAGGCGCTCACCGTCGAGCGGGCGCGGGCGCTGCTGCGCGGCGGCGCGGCCTCTTCGGCCGGCGAGCCTTCTGCCCTCGAGCGGGCGCGCGTCCTCTGCTCGTGGAGCGAGTCGGATCCGACCGCTGCGGCTGCCGGCTCCACCGTCGCGATCCACTCTCTCGTCTCGCGGCCCTCGATGAACGGCAAGGTCGGCGTCGTCGTCTCCGCAAGCGCTTCGACGGCCCGCTTCGGTGTGCGCGTGGCGGGCGAGGCCAAGGCACTCGCACTGAGGCGCGCACTGCAATGGCCTCTCCCCGACTCGCCGGATCCTCTCTTTGACACACCTCTGCCCTCCCTCAGGCCGGCCAACCTGCAGCCAGCGGCCGAGGCGGTGGAGGTGGGCAGGCTGGTCCTCAAGGCGGAGGAGTGGTCGCCGCAGTCGCACGAGCTCTTCCCAGAGGCGGCTCGCAAGCGGGCGGTCGAGGTGATGCGGCTGGGCTACCTGATCGCGTGGGACGAGGAGCGCTTCGACAGCCGCGAGGGAGCGGCTCCAGAGCTGGCGGACGTCTGGCGCGGCTTTGTGTTGCCAAGGGCGGTGGTGCGATGACTGCACAAGCCACAACGGTCGTGTGTTTTCTTTTTCTTCGTGGCTGATCTTGGCTGTGTGGACACTCGCTCCTCTCTGTCGGTCCGCGCCCCACGCGGATCGCGGTGGACGTTGCTCTCTCGCCCCGCGGCCCCGCCCTCACTGGCCCTCAGTCACTTGTGCTGCGGCTTGTGTGAGCGACTCTGCTCGGCGACTGCCGGCACACTGATCACTGTGAGACCATGGGTGTGAGGCTAAACCACGCTACCAGCGCTTGGTTACATCGGCCCTGAGGTCAGATCCATCTACTCTGTTGATGACAAGACTTGTCTACACTGGCTGGAGTTAGGCGGCTCCGGTGGTGTGCCGGTGTGTGTGCCAGTCCGCGCCAGTCTGCGCCCTTGTCGTGCCAGTGTGCTGTGAGAGAGGTTAGGTTAGGTTAGGTAGGAAGGTGAAGAACAGCCAGGCTCGGACTGGACACCAACGCGTCTGGATGGACGCTAGACAGATGATGACGACACGCACGAGCGACACATAGACACAAACAAGCTCACAAGACACACAGCCAGCTGGCTGCCACACACCCTGAGTTGGCGTACACATAACTCAGGGCCACATCCTCCCTGTCGCCCCCCCCCAGCACCCACGGTGCCAAGGACACAAACAAGGGCACAACAACACAAGTCACAACAGACCACAGGTCACAGGAAGTAACATGTGAGACTAGAGCAGGCTTGCTCCGTCTCTATAGCAATCTCGTCGCCGGCCGCAACGCAGGGTAGACAAGGAAAGAAAGAAAGAAAGAAAACAGACACCCCAAGGGAGGGACTTGGAGCACTTGGAGTGCAATCATCAGACTTCTCGATCTCTTCACGCGAAGGACCTCAGCGAAAACGCATCGAACCAAGCCATGTGATGTCCGGGTCCATCTCAATCCGCTCGCCCAATCCGCTCGACGAGACCGCCTCCCTCCCTCCTCGACTTCCTCCCTCGCAACGAGCCGCGGCAGCGAGCAAAGCGAGGCCAGCGGCGCTCATCGGGTCGGCGCGTTGAGCAGGCCGACACGCTCGTCGAGGCTACCGAGGAGAATAAGCTTAAGACCGTCCCGGCGCCAGCTCGAAGTTTTACCGAGCCGCTCGCTTGATCGCGTCCAGCACCCTGAATCGCTCGACAATGATGACAAACGATTGGCAACGATGACGCGCCATTGCCTGACCCCTCGTGGGAGCAGTGGCGTCGAGGTTAAGGGCGCGGCGCGGCGCGGGCCGGTCCGTTGATGGCTGCGCCGCGTGCACATGCCCGATCCCCAACGTGAGTCTCGTGTGGCGTCTCACATTTTTCCAATGTCGATACACAGTCGCGTCTCTTTATTTTGTTGTGAGCACACCATTCGGCCCGGAGGGCGGGGGCGGGGGGTCAGGTAGGGCTGGCGTGGGGGGCCTCAGGTAAAGGTAAACCTGTCTCAGACCGCCGGAGGTAGAGGTAAACGGAGCCCAGGTGAGGGCAGGTAAACGTACCCGTGAACGTTCACGAGGTGGTGGTACGAGGGACGCACAAGGCTGCGAGAGCGCTTCGCCATGGACCAGGCGTCACCGCCGCTTGCCGACGGCTGGATTGAGGCGACGGCGCCGGAGACGCGAGCACGAGCACGCAGGAGACGCGCTGGCAGCGGCCCGAACCAGCGCCGCCGCCGCCTCCGCCACCGCCGCTCCCGCCGCCGCCGCGTCTCCCAAGCAGCTGGCAGGCGCTCAAGGCCCCTGATGGCCGCACTTACTACGGCAATTCCATCACCGGCGAGACCAGCTGGGAACCACCTCAGCCTCAGCTGCAGCCGCCGCCGCCGCCGCCGCCGCTTCCACCGCCGCCGCCGCCGCTTCCACCGCCACCGCAGCCGCCAGGTGCCGCCGCCGCAGGCACCGCCGCCGCCACCGCTGCGCCACCCGCCGCCACCACCACGACCATCACGGTCTTTTTGGTCGGTGCTCCGAGGGCTTCTCAAAAGCCGACTTCCACGGCAGGCCGGGCCAGTCGGACCCGCTGCCCCTGGGGAATGACAGCTTCTTCCAGCCCAAGCTGATCCGCGTGGCCGTCGACGGCTTGGTGCGGCCGACCCGCGCATCGTTTGAGTCCTCGATCGCGTCCGGGCTGAGGCTGGGCAATACGGTCATGCTGCGGTACAGCTTGGTGCTGTCCGGCGCGCAGGTCATCACGCCGATCGCGGATGACGACGCGATCGTCACGTACCTCGAGCAGCCGCTTTTGGAGGCCAGAGACTGTACGATGACCGCCAGCACGGATGTGTTGAGCTTGCTGGCAATTTCTGGCGCGGAGCCATCGCTAATTTTTGCTTCGAGCTCCTCGTAGGTGATTGGGCCCAAGGCACTCCCAACCAGCTGCAGCCGCGCAGTGTCAACCTCGAGGTTGGGCGCACATGCACCCGCGTCGGACGAGGCCGTCACAAGGAAAACCTTTGAGACGTCCGTCTCGATGCAGAGAGCGCCGGTGGCGTCGAGGGCGAGCTGTGCACGGAGAACATCGGGCAGGGAGGTGCCGTAATCAACTCGCTCCATCGACTGCTTCACTGTGTCGTAAGAGAATCCAGCGAGGTTGGTCACCTCGTGAAAGCTGGCGGGGTTGACGTAGCACGAGCTCCAATCGCTGCCCTGACCGTGCATGCCCGGGCCAATCAGCAGATGATTGATTGCACGACCGCCGCGCATCATGAGCTGCCGTTGCCAGGCCAGCAGCGTGGGCAGCTCATCACTCGTTGGCGAGCGGCCGATGGAGCCCAGCATTGCAGACCGCATGAGCTGTACGAGAAGGTGGTTATCGGGAAGGGCACCCGTCTCGCGCTGCAGCCAATAGATGCCGGCCTCATCCGGCAATGTACTGAGATCCAGATCAAGAGCAACGACCCCATCTGGGGTTGGCAGTGCCATGGCGCTTGGGCTTGTGAGTGCAAGCCTCTTTGATAGCGCGGCCCGAGTCGAGCGCTCGCCGAAGCACCGAAACGTGCGCTGCCGTTCTGTTTTTTTCTAGTATGTAATAAAGTTACAGATACGAGATAGCTGCGAGATCACTCGAGATCACCGCTGTGGAGATCACCGCACAGGTAAATCACGGCTACGTCGCTCAGAGGTAGAGGTAAAGGGCCCGCGGCTGCCCAGAGGTAAAGGTAAGAGGGCCGCAGGCCCTCAGAGGTAGAGGTAACCTAGACCCCTCCTACCCGGCCCTCCGGGCCGACACCATCGCATATTACTTTTTGGTGCTCGCTATTGTATCGGCACAGCACCTATACGTTTTGGCTTCGACGCGGCGCGCGGCTCTACTATCCGCTGCAGCAACAAATCGCCATATATCCGCTACCCGAGCGCGTGGACGGCAGCGCGCGCGGCGCGGCACCGGCACGACGCGGCAGAGCGGGCACTACTCGTCGTCGCGCTTGCGCTTGCGGCCCGGCTCCTCCTCCGACGGCTCGATGCCCGCGCAGTGCATGTTGAACTTGACGAGGGCCTCGGGCGGGAGCGCCGCAAACTCGGCGCGCTTGACAACTGCGCGGGGAGGGGGGGGGGGGGGTGCGACTCGTGTGCGGGCGGGCTGTGATCCGTCCTGCGTTGGCCCTCTCCCTCACCTTGCGCCATGTTTGCCTTCATGAAGGCGAGGCAGTTGCGCTCGAGCTCGGTGGCGCCGTACACGTGCGCGAGGCTGAGGAGCGAGCACGCCATCTCGCAGGACAGCTTGTCGCACAGCTGCCCCTCCGCCCAGCGCAGCAGCCGCAGCACGCCGTACTTGTGCGCGGCGGCGAGGACCGCCTGCAGCTGCGCGATGCTCTGCTGCGCGTCCTACGTCGCGCGTGCGCCAAGTGAGTACGGTCTGCCGCCGTGTGCCGGAACGCCTCCTTGCGAGGGGTGGCTCGAACACACGCAGGCCAGCCTTCCGCATCTGTACTTCCGCATCTGTACTTCCGCATCTGTACTTCCGCATCTAGGCTGCGTCTCCTCCGGCGCGCAGCTGATCGGGGCGGCGGAGCTCGAGCCGGCGGAGCTCGAGGCGGCGTCGCCCGCGTCGGTGCCGGCCGCGTGCGTCGCCTCCTCGCGCAGCACCTGCTCCCCCGTCAGCGGGTAGGGGTCAGCGAGCCGGCCGGCGGGTTGGGGTGAGAGTGAGCAAAGCTCGTCGCGACGCGACGTTGCCTGTCTCGCCGTCGGTCTCGGTGCGTACGTGTGTGTGTGTGTGCGTGTGTGTGTGTGTGTGTGTGTGTGTGTGCGTGTGTGTGTGTGTGTGTGTGTGTGTGTGTGTGTGTGTGTGTGTGTGTGTGTGTGTGTGTGTGTGTGTGTGTGTGTGTGTGTGTGTGTGTGTGTGTGTGTGTGTGTGTGTGTGCGTGTGTGTGTGTGTGTGTGTGTGTGTTCTCGACGGTCCGCGGGTGTGGTGCGATGGGGGGCCGAGAGGCTGTGTGTTTGTGTGAGCAGACTCCGCGCGGCACCTTTTGCACCTCGTCAAAGTCGTCCGTGTACAGAAAGTGCAGCAGCGCCTTGAGCGCGGGCGGCGGCACGTCCGTCACCTGTCCACAGCTGGGAGGCGTGAAGACGCGGCACCGCTGACGCTCGGCCGCGAGGCCCCCAGCTCTGTGGCGCCGTGAGCGTGCGCGTGGCGCTCTCGCGCATCTCGTGCGAAAAGGCGGCCGCGAAGACGTCGCTGCGCTGGCTGAGGATGTTTGTGTGCGCGCTGAAGGTGGCCGGTGCCGCCTCGCCGTAGACGGCCTCGATGGAGACGTCGGAGTGGCGCCCCTCGATGAGGAGGGAGAGGAGGTCGGCCTGCAGCGTCGAGGGCGGCACCTGTTCGCAGCAGCTGCAGTGTGTGGAGAGAGGAGAGGAGAGGAGGTGGGCCTGCAGCGTCGAGGGAGGCGCCTCGACAGAGGGCGTCTTCTGCTCGAAGGTGACGTCTGCCTTGCCCAGCCGGATCTGAGGCACCGCGCTGAGGGGGAAGGGGGGGGGGGGGGGACGTGTGTGCGCGTGCTCATGCGC